CCGGTTACGTTTACGTGCCGAAAGCGTGTCAAAGCGGAGAGCTGAAGTGCAAGTTTCACATCTCCTTCCACGGCTGTCTGCAGGGACGGTAAGCTGATCGAGTGGGAATATGCTCAAGGCGCAATGACGTAGTCTGTAGCATCCACACCCCACACTGACTGGAAATAGCATTCATTGGTGCTACAAGTTGCAGTGATTTTTGGGACAGGTGGTCGCCTTGAGCACTTTTACTGTATGTTTACACATGCACGGGTGTTAGCGGTCGTCGTGAGTTCCCTTCGGGAACGGACACGATAATTTACCTTTTTACTTTAATTACACATGCACCTGCCTTGCATTCTGACGCTGATTACGCTACGCCTTCCCCATCCGTATACAGGTCCGTCAGTAGACAACCCTGGGGGTTTAACGTTGTAACGAGTATTTTCTACTATTCGGAATTGAATGTACACGTTTTATGCGTCAGGGGATTTTTGATCGTTGTCTACTAATGAGGTTTGTCTTGTGACCGATGTCGTACTAACCAGGGTAGACCTGTATTTTTCACCTGACTGCAGGGAGACTGTTGGTCAAGACTACGTACTGCACGCTGGTCTGGCACAGCTGGCAGAGACGACCGCCACTATCGTACTCTTCCCGCAAGTGAAGAAGTCTTCTTTACTGCCGCTGAACCCCAATGGCTGCTTTGACTGGTACGTCCGGTAGAAGTGCTCAAATACTGCTCAGTCACTGCACAGTCATTGCTCAGTCACTTCAAACAAGAGTACATAAAACCTGGAGTGCGCAGCTTCTGACTTTTTCTGCACGGGTGTCTGTCACGGCGAAATTCCTCGATTTCATCATATTTGGTGTACAGCTGAGACGGGATCGATCGGGGAAATGGCGTAGTGCGTACAACTGTGCCTGTAGTCGTGCAGAAAGAGACCTGCTTGAATCCTGCTTGTACACACTAGATCACTAAAATGATGTAATCACGGAATTTCGCCGTAACAGCAACCCATCACGGCATCAGAGCTGCACACTCTGGCTTTCATGTACATGTTTTCTTGTTTCAAAACATGTGTTTGCATCGTCATGGTAATAGTAAGGCTTAGCGCGTACTGTAGAACGGGTAATTTTAGCGACTATTAATTTTAGCGTTTTCCCATTGTCAACCGGTTAGCGACGTTTTATTTTAGCGATTTGCAGCGATTCACGGATCACCAGTGCACTACTAATGCCTCAACGGATTAGCGACTTGAAACTTTAGCGAAAATGAGTCGATCGCTAAATTCGCTAGGGTTTTTACGTCGCTAAAATTACCCGTTCTACAGTATGTTGACTTCCCGCACATGTACTGTAGTTCCTGCTCCAGCGGACACCTCTGAACAAACCAGGGGTCAAGAGACCCACAGTGAAGACCCCCCCCCCCCCCCCCGAAGGGCATTGCTGAACAAAATGACACCTCCCAACGAAGGACACCTCCAATGAAGAACACCCCCAATGCAGGACACCTCTGAACAAAGGACACCTCCCATGAAGGACACTGCTCAACAAAATGACACCTCCCAATGAAGAACACCTGAACAAAGGTGTCAGGACACCCCCAATGAAGAATGCCCCCAATGAAGCACACCTCTGAACAAAGGACACCTCCCAATGAACAACACCACTAAACAAAGGACACCTCCCAATGAAGAGCACCTCAGAGCAAAGGACACCCTTTAGACAGAGGACATTCCACAATTAGGACACATCCTTAACGTTCTGATGTTCTTGATCGATCAAGTGTGTATAATAAAATAAAGAAACTCTTATCAGTGTGCGTCTGCCCATACGAGATAGACAATGCCAGGTCCCTTGGGTGTCCAAAACTTACAGCTATCCAATTATCGCAAGGGAATGATGACAGCTCCGTAGATATAACACCCAGCCCGCCCCACTCATTGGCAATATAGCAGCTTTTCAAGCAAGTCACGGCGCAAATTCATATTCGCTTGCCGGTCTGGTTTGCTCCCAGCACACTTGATTGTCTTCGTTGGTTGTTGTAAAGTTAAACGCCTTTGTTCCCACAAAGCTATGAATAAAATAATTGATGCCGATATAATAGTAATACAATGATGGACGAAATGCGTCAATTGTTTTCTTGTAGAAAGGAAAAGGACATAATTATGGAAACGAGTTAAGAGTAACTCTCCACCACTGTAACCAGATACTATACAGTCAGAAAGTGCAACAACTAGGCACAAAACTGACAGAGTACTGAGACATTCGATGTCCTGCCACCTAGCTTCAACACATCTCCGTAGCGATAACCGACAGCCTTCCAACTACAACTTTCTGACTGTATAATTTAACTCCTTTCCATATGTTCTTTTCCTTTCTACATTTATTATAGGCTCACCATCCAAGTTTCAAATTGTTTTCTTCGTAGCATTTTTTGAAACTTCTTTCTCCGAAACGGCCTTTGTTTCCATTGCTTGTTTTTCTGCTGTCTACTGTCTCCCTGTGGTCATCGTTG